GGGGGGGGTGAAAGTCGGCGGCGCGCTAGCCCGTCCAGTTCACCATGCTCCCCCCCACACGCCGGCTCTGATTGGCTAGCAGCCGCCGCTCGCACGCGCGACTTCCGGGGCGGGGGCGGGGCTTGGGAGGAGCCAGGTTTCCGGCGCGAGGCGCCTTCGTCGCGGTTTTCGGCCCAGATGGCGGCCCAGGTCGTTCACACGCGGTATCCCGGAGAGGCGGCACCCTCGGCTTCGGCGGCCGCTACTCTGGAGACGACGAGGCCCGGGTGAGGTTCGGGTGTCTCGCGTCTGTGTCCCTGGGACCGAGGCCCGGGGCCGGGATGGGGGAGCGGCTCTGGAAGGACCTGGGCCCTCTCCTGGAGCGGAGGCGGGCCGGGGCGGAGGCGGTCGCGGGCCCGGGTCCTGGGCTGGTGGGTGGAAACGGCCAGCTCGAAGCGGCTGTGCTCGGTCCCGGGCCCCCAGCCACCCCTTCCTCCCTCCGGAGGCCCCCCCGTCCTTCCCAGGCCCCCCCATCCTTCCCAGCCCCCCCACTCCCATCCTCTCCAGGTCCCCCCTGTCCTTCCCAGGTTCCCTCCCCCCGTCCTTCCCAGGTCCCCCCCATCCCCATCCTTCCCAGGTCCCCCGTCCTCCACCTTGGGCCGGCCCCCATCCACTCCCCCAAACGCCATCCACCTCCCTGGGCCCCCCTCACTGCGTTTCTGGACTGTCTTCTCCTTTGCTCTTCCCTCCAGTGTTACGGATGGCAGATCGAATCCTAAATTTTGTTAGAAATTTATTCGACCAAAAATAAGCTGTACACTCAATTCCAAAGCATTTTAAACGGTGTCGTAGCCAGCTTCTAATCTCTTCCCCCTCTCCTCCATTCAGCACTTTTCAGTAGGATGCTTTGTGTTCCTGCTGACCTCTGCTTAAAGCAAACACTTAGCATCCTATTCAAAATTACTTATGAATTACATCCTTAACTGTGTCAGATAGGGGGCATTGCCAACAGAGTGTGTGTGTTTGGGGGTGGTGGTGGTGGCAGTAAATAGACCAGTAAATAAGTGAAAAAGGTAGTTCCACATAGTGATAAATTCAATGAAGAAATATGACAGCTGAAGTGTGGTGGTCCAACCTGGAGTCAGGGATCCAGGGATCACCGTTCAAAGTGGGATAAAGTTAGGGAGAGCCCCTGTCCAAAAATTAAATAGCTAAAAAATAAAGGAACGTTTTAACAATACAGGAAGGCAAAGGAAAAATGGATTTGTTAGATTTTTTGGTGGAGAAGCATCTAATATTGGAGCTTCATTGTGAATGAATGTAACCTTTAGCTTTCTGGGAAGACTGATGTTTGATAGAATGAGTACTAACTAGCTCATCAAGTTGAAAGAACAGAAAGGACACTATGCTTGCCATAAAACAAGTGGTTGGAGATGAGATCAAAGGTGGGCAGGGGCCAGATTAGCAGAGAATCTTCTGGGATGAATATGGAGTTTGGATTTTTGCTTTTCATTGAGTGAGGGATGAAGCCATCACTGGGCAAGAATGTCTCACTGATAGGTGTTCTGTAAAGGTTCCCTACTATTCTGTCATGAGTTTAATAGCTTGGTGATCTTGCTTCTGCAGAATTTCAGATATGCTTACATTAGAGAATGACTTCTTCAATTCTCCCCCAAGAAAAACTGTTCGGTTTGGCAGTACTGTGCCAGAAGTCTTGCTGAAATACAAAAAGGTAAGAAGAGATGGCATGAGCATTGGGATTGTTGGCTGGAATACAGAGCTATTCTACCAAAGATAAGCTAGGTGGTGGGAGGTGGGGGTGGTTAGCAATAGAGTGTGCTTTGGCTGTGGGTTCAATCCCCAGTGCTTTAAAAAAAAAAACAAAGTCTCAGTTTATATAATATTGTCTACCAGTATGGAAATCAAGTAATTAGAGATTGTATGGTGCATTTAGTTAAAAAAAGAGTAATAAAGTGTTTGATGTGTTTTTACAACTTCAGATGTCATATTTACTAAGAATCTTTTGTAAACATTAGCAAGTCCTAGAATAAAAAGCTGTTAGGACATTTTATTTTACTTTGTCTTATTTTTTTGCCAGTCCTGGGGCTTGAATTCAGGACTTGGGCACTGTCCCTGAGCTTCTTTTGCTCAAGGCTAGCACTCTACCACTTGAGCCATAGCGTCCCTTTGGGCATTTTCTGTTAATGTGGTACCAAGGAATCAAACCCAAGGCTTCATGTGTGCTAGGCAAGCATTCTACCACTAAGTTATATTCTCAGCCCACATTTTATTTTGTTTATTTTTTTGTGGGTCCTGGGGCCTGAACTCTGGGCCTGGGCACTGTCCCTCAACTCTTCAGCTCAAGACTAGAGCTCTACCACTTGAGCGACAGCACCACTTCTGGCTTTTTCTGCTTATGTGGTGCTGAGGAATCGAACCCAGGGCCTCCTACATGCAAGGCAAGCGCTCTACCACTGAGCCACCTTCCCAGTCCCCCACATTTTATTTTATTTTTTAAATATCTATATTTTTGAGCTAGGATCTTGCTATGTATCCTAGGCTGTTCTTGAATTCAATATATTTTTTCTGCAGCCTCTTGAAAACTTGGATTATAGTTGTGTGCCACCATGGCAAAACATTTTTTTCTTAAGGAATTGCCTAAACATTACTTTGAAAGAATAAAGTGGGGATCTTTGTGTTAGCTTTTGGTTCAAGTGATTCTACTAGATCTCAGAGATCTAGTGAAAGAGACACTCTAAATGACGATGTTTATGTATAATACTTACACATTTATTTGAATTGATACATATTAGTTCTCTTTTTTTCTTTGAGAATTTTCGAGGGTATCAAGAGTAGCCATACCTATCTATACTCTAGCCCTCAGGAGGCCGTGAGTTCTGGATTGCTTTGGGCTACAATCAGATTCTGTATCTCAAAACAAACAAACCCACCCAAAAGAAGAGCATCAATTGTAATACCCAAGTGTCAGTATACAAATATAGCTAAATATGAATGGCTTTTTGGGTACTTGTCATTTTTTTTTCCCCCGTCTGCTTCTACTCACATGAATTCTGTCAATTGTGTCATGGTTTTATAATGGCAAGGGATATGTGAAAGTGACAAGGTTAATTCCACCAGATGGTGAGGGATGTTGATACTGCACAGGAAACCACAGTAATTATCATTTAACCCTCCCATTCTTCTTGTTCAGGGTGAGACGAATGACTTTGAGTTGTTGAAGAACCAACTCTCAGACCCTGACATAAAGGTAGGTTGTAATTGCGGAGTAGGTTGTTAGTTTGCACTTTGCAGGCTGTTCTGTATTTCAGAGCTGGATCTTTTGCTCTACCAGGAGCTGTTATACTCCATTGAGGACATTTTATAATGGCTGGAAACTTTGGTTGTGACAAATGGGAATTAGGGGTGTTGGGTTGACAGGGATGATGTAAAATTAGGGAAACTTTTTTCCCCTTCAATATGTAGAAGTTTGAAAAAAAAAAAAAGAAACTGTTTCAACTCAGGGCGTTATGCTTACTGGGCAAAAAATGTTTTACCACTTGAGTCATACCCCTAGTCTCTATTGGCTTTTGGTTTATTTTCTTTTTCTTGCATTTCTCTAGTTTTTGCTGGGGGCTGGCCTCTGATGAGATCTTCTTATCTCTGTAGCTGAGATTACAGGTGTAGACCTTCACACCCAGCTTTGTTTTGTTTGTTTTGTTGTGGTTTGAGGCTGGAACTCAGAGAGAGCTTTGTCCTTTCCCCCCTCCTCCCCCCATGGCTAGTATTCTATTTGAGCCATACTTCCAGAGTCCAATGTTTTGCTGGTTAATTGGAGACTGTTTCCAGGACTTTTGTCTGGGCTGGCTTTGAACTGTGATCCTCTAGGTCTTAACCTCTTGAGTAGCTAAGATTATAGACACAAGCTATTAGTCCCCACCCAGACTTGTTTCTCATCTACCTCTGACGGAGATGTGTCTGCCTAGAATTATTACAGTTGCTCTAGACTAGCAAGTCAGACTCATTATCTCCCTCCCAAGTCCCTGCCGCTGTAAGTTCAGCTGTGTGTGGCTCTCCCAGGTCCTGAGCTGGGAGCCTTGGACTTTTCTGGACTTCCACCTTCACTTACTGAACCTTAGGGAAAAAGATGTTGGCTCCCTCCCCACTTTGTTAGTGCACCTTAACAGTGTCTGATCCTGCCGCCCCACCCCCATCCTCTCCAGAGGAACCTGACTCATATGACTCCAAGAGGGCATGTCTGGGCATGTCACTTTCTTTTCAGAAAAGCTTCACATCTCACTGCACGCCCTGTTCCTCACTGCACGCCCTGTTCCCTAAATTTGTCACTCTTCACCTTATATCTTCCCGTGCAACTAGAGCAGATCCTCTGTCCACCGTGTTTGAGCCTGGGCTCTGGCTCCACTGCTTCTCTCCCTTACTAGCTATGTGACCCACAGTCAGTTTTGTACTGCAGTACAATGGAGTCACTGCCTACGTCATGGGGTGGTGGTCAGGAATGACTGAATTGATTACATGGCTTGGTTTGGGTGTTCTGTTGGTGGTTACTTCTGTTACTGGCATTGTTACTGTAGTCTTCAGAATTCTTCACTCATTCAGACCCAGGTCTGAATGGTCAGCTTCTTAATTTTTTTTTTTGGTAGTCGTGGGGCTTGAACTCAGAGCTTAGGCACTGTCTCTGAGCTTCTTTTGCTCAAGGCTAGCATTCTACCACTTGAGCCACAGTGCCACTTCCAACTTTTTCTATTATTATTATTATTTTTTTTTTTGGGTCCAGTCGTGGGGTCTGAACTCTGGGCCTGGGCGCTGTCCCTCAGCTTTTCAGCTCAAGGCTAGCGCTCTACCACTTGAGCCACAGTGCCACTTCCAACTTTTTCTATTATTATTATTATTTTTTTTTTTGGGTCCAGTCGTGGGGTCTGAACTCTGGGCCTGGGCGCTGTCCCTCAGCTTTTCAGCTCAAGGCTAGCGCTCTACCACTTGAGCCATAGTGCCACTTCCGGCTTTTTTCTTTCTGCTTATGTGGTGCTAAGGAATCGAGCCCAGGGCCTCATGCATTCAAGGCAAGTGCTCTACCACTGAGCTACCTTCCCAGCCCTATTATTTATTTTTGTCAGTCGTGGGGCTTGAACTCTGGGCCTGGGCACTGTCCCTCAGCTCTTCAGCTCAAACCACTTGAGCTACAGCGCCACTTCCGGTTTTCTGGTGGTTTATTGGAGATAGGAGTCTCACGGTCTCTCCTGCCCTGGCTGGCTTTGAACCTCGATCCTCAGATCTCAGCCTCCTGAGTAGCTAGGATTACAGGCGTGAGCCACCAGCGCCCGGCTGCTTCCAACCTTTTCTGTGTGTGTGGTACTGAGGAATTGAACCCTGGGCTTCATGCATACTAGACAAGCACTCTACTACTAAGCCACATTCCCAGTCCGTTTTCTTTTTCTTTTTCGGGTCCGGACATGGGGCCTGAACTCTGGGCCTGGGCGCTGTCCCTCAGCTCTTCAGCTCAAGGCTAGTGCCCTACCACTTGAGCCACAGCGCCACTTTCGGCTTTTTCTGCTTATGTGGTGCTGAGGAATTGAACCCAGGGCCTCATGCATGCAAGGCAAGCACTGTACTGCCACCTTCCCAGCCAGAGGATTTGTGATTTTGATAGAACTTTTCTTTGTTTAACTTGAGGATGAACAGATCATCAGCTGGCTGCTGGAGCTCCGCTCTTCCATCATGTACCTGACCAAAGACTTCGAACACCTGATTAGTATTGTGTTGGTGAGTTCATTTAGTTAATATCATGGGCTAGTAAGTGCTTCTTGTTTTTGAAACTGTATATTTATCACTGTCTTCTCCCTTGTCTAGAAATTGCCTTGGTTGAATAGAAGTCAGGCAGTGGTGGAGGAGTACTTGGCTTTTCTCGGGAATCTTGTGTCTGCCCAGACCGTCTTCCTCAGGCCCTGTCTTGGCATGCTGGCTTCCCACTTTGTACCTCGTGAGTAGTTGTGCTCTGCTTATCAAAGCCAGCTCCTTCCCCTTGTCCTATCCCTTTCCCCCTGCCCTTCCTTATTAGAAAGAAAAGAGGTTCACAATTAATTTAAACTAATTAATTTAAACTAATTAATTTGGTTCTGCCTGAATGGCAGAGTCCTCTGTGACACAGGACACCAAGGCAAGGAGTAGAAAGTGTGTGTTATGTGTTACTTACTGCATGTGATTTTTTTTTTTTTTTTGGGCCAGTCCTAGGGCTTGAACCCAGGGCCTGGGCACTGTTCCTGAGCTTCTTTTCCTCAAGGCTAGCGCTCTACCACTTGGAGCCACAGTGCCACTTCCAGCTTTTTCTGTGTATGTGGTACTAAGGAATCGAACCCAGGGCTTCATACATGCTAGGCAAAGCGCTCTACCCCTAGGCCATCTTTATTAAAGCACACTGGGGCTTTTGCCACCATGGATGTGCGTGCTGGTATTCTGGAGGTACATGTCCCCTGTAGGGATGTCTAGGCCCAGCCTTGGTTTTGACAGGTTGTCCCTTGTTTTAATGAACCTCTGACAAAGTCTTAGAACTTCATCTCAGATTTTGTAGCTATGTAAGCATTCTCTGGTTGCTGTACTTTCTCAAATGGTGAATCTATCATTATACTTGGCTTGAACTATGGGAAGAAACAGCTTTCCTGTATAGGCATCATTGTGTTAGGTCCATGACAGATGAGTGACATGTGCTTCTTTTCCCTCTAAAGCGCGAGTGATCGTTAAGGAAGGTGACATAGATGTTTCGGAGTCCGAAGATGAAGATGATAGTAAGTATAGAGGGATTTTAAAGCAAAGAACACCCCTAGATTGTGGAGAATGTGATGGATGACTACAAAACATTGTGGAATCTGTTCCAACAAGTAGATGGCAACACATGTTCTCATGTAATTACTCCATTTAATCTTGATGGCTGTAGAGAGGAATCTTGAAATTCTCATTTCTCTGATAGATTCCTCACTCTTGCTTTTAATTAGTGATTTCAGCTTCAGGTTCTTGATTTTTCAGCTCTTAGTTTTGACGGTCACATGCCCAACTTTTCTCCTTATAGATCTTCCTGCGATTTTTGACACATGTCACCGAGCCTTGCAAATAATAGCAAGATATGTCCCATCGTGAGTATGCTTTTGTTACTTTGAATCTTAACATTTGATTCTTAAGAAACTAAATGGGCTGGTATATATCTATAGCTGTGTGGGTGTATATACATGTACACATATATGTATGTATATATATATATATGTGTGTGTATACATATATACACACACACACATATGTCAGCAGTGGCGTGCTTGACTGGCTTGTGGGTGTCTGGTTCTATCCTCAGCACCACAAAAGAGGAAAGGAAAGAAAATTGTAATCAGGTGAAAGCCATAAAATATAAGCGACATCCGTGTGGGCTATGTGTCATGATGCTGGCTGCATCATGTTGATGACGTCACTTTTTATTGAAAATAGTGCTTCTGTTTTGTTCACGTTCTTTAACCATTTTGAAAAGCTTACATACCAGTTCTCCCGCAAATTTCCTGTGGTATTTGGAATTTTGCTTTTATCTTCAACAGATATGGTATCGAAATATTTTCACTGAGAAATCCCGATGTGTATTTGTGTCATGCCATATGAATAAGAAAACCTTTGCAGGTTTGTGGGTTTCTTTTTGGAGGGTAGATTTCTAGGTTGATTTTTTTTTTTTGTTAACAAAGAATCCAAGTTGGTGTTCTTTTTGCTTTTTTTAAAAAAAGTAATATGTGTGGTGGGAAATGTTTAGACTTAAACTGAAACCCTTTTAAACTTTTATTTTTTGTCGGTCATGGAGCTTGAACACAGGGTCTGGGCTCTGTCCCTTAGCTCTTTTGCTCAAGGCTCCCACTTGATTATTTTGAGTTGCAGAACTACTTCCTGTTTTCTGGTGGTTAATTGAAAATAAGAGTCTCACGGACTTTCCTGCCTGGGCTGGCTTTGAACCATGATCCTCAGATCTCAACCTCCTGAGTAGCTAGAATTCCAGGTGTGAGCCACCAGTGCCTGGCTTCTTTTAAACTTTTATTTATTTATTTATTTTTGTCGGTTGTGGGGCTTGAACTCTGGGCCTGGGTGCTGTCCCTCAGCTCTTCAGCTCAAGGCGAGTGTTCTACCACTTGAGCTACAGCGCCACTTCCGGTTTTCTGGTGGTTTATTGGAGATAGGAGTCTCATGGTCTCTCCTGCCCGGGCTGGCTTTGAACCTGGATCCTCAGATCTCAGCCTCCTGAGTAGCTAGGATTACAGGCGTGAGCCACCAGCGCCTGGCTTCTTTTAAACTTTTAAAGGAGGAAGCTCCTCTTTTAAGTTGCTGTTAATATGAAGTTAAACCATTTTTTTCACCTTAGTTTTTAATTTAAAATTTTTTATTAGCATCTATTGTACACCATGGCCATTTTCTATTACTGGTTTTCATTAATAGATTTTTCTGTGGAACTATACATTTCTTTTTGTTTTGGAAGTGTAGGGGTTCTTGCCTGCCTCCCATCTGTCTGTGCTCTGGAATTGGGGAATGTGAATTTTCTTAGCAAGTGTAGTTTACATGGATTGTTTTGTTTTAATAGGACACCATGGTTTCTTATGCCAATACTTGTGGAAAAGTTTCCATTTGTTAGAAAATCTGAGAGAATACTGGTAAGAACTCTTTTTCACAAAGATAATGGGAATATTGTTTCATGTGATTGTCTTTTAAGTTATGCTAGTTTTTCTTAAAAGTTCTTTTTTAGATTTTAAATTTGAGACTTAAGATTTTGATTCTGGGCTTGGGAAGGTGGCTCAGTGGTAGAGCGCTTGCCTTGCATGCGTGAGGCCCTGGCTTCGGTTCCTTAGCACCACATAAGCAGAAAAAGCCAGATGTGGTGCTACGGCTCAAGTGGTAGAGCTTTAGCCTTGAGCTGAAGAGCCCAGGGACAGCGTCCAGGCTCAGAGTTCAGGCCCATGACTGACAAAAAAAAAAAGGAATTTGATTCTGATTCCTTTCTTAGTGAGTACTGGGAATCCTCCATACCTTTTTCTTACTTGCAAGAAGTTAAGAGTCCATTTCAGAGGCATCATTAGAGGCCTAATGTTGACACATGATAATCACTGGATAATAGCAGATCATATGTTCCTGTCATGCCTTGCCTGAGCAGAGAAAGCGGAACTTTTGGAGGCATGCAAATGGGGCTTGAATGCAGGACCTCATGCTTTCACTTGGCTTTTTTTTTGCTAAAGGCTAGTGGCTACCCCTTGAACCATGCTTCCTCGTTCTGGCTTTTTTGCAGGTTAATTGAAGATACAAGTCCCTTGGATTTATCTGCCTGGGCTGGCTTGAAACTGTGATCTTTAGATCTCAGCTTTTGGTGTAGCTAGAATTACAGGTGTAAACCACCAGTCCCCAGCTTCTGTGATATTTACATCATCTGTGTGCTCCTCATGAATTCCTAGTGTCTATATCACTTTGTGTTTCCCCCCATAAGTGGTTAGAGGCACTAAGGAGGAGTTACTAACTTTTGCTCTTGTTTGTCCCACTGTGCTTCCCATGGACGGTTAAACCACTGCATAGCTAGGAAAATAGATGTCAGGCTGAGGGAGGAAGATCACTCATTTGAGGCTAGCCTAGTATATATACTGAGACCCTGTCTCAAAAAGAAGGAAAGGATACAGATACAAAAATTCTGAATGAATATAAGAAAAGCAAGACTAACAATATTTGAGAAGTTATGCACTGTGTGCAGTTAGATGGGCAAAGGCTCCCTCAGGAAATGGATGCATCAGCCCTGCCCCACCTGCTAGCCTGGCTCTGACAGTAACGCCAAGTGTTGATTTTTGTCTGTGTTATACTTCAGGAATGTTACGTCCATAATTTACTAAGGATCAGTGTGTATTTTCCTACCCTGAGGCATGACATTCTGGAACTTGTTATTGAGAAGCTCCTCAAGTTGGATGTAAGTACTGGACAAACTTTTTCCTTCTGGTTTGCATTTATGGAATGATTGTGTTTATGAGGTGCCATTGCTTCCTCCTAATGTCCTGGTCCTGCGTGTGGGTATGCTGGGGCTGCAGCAGTCCTCTGGCTGGGCGCAGGCCTCCCCTTAGTCCCACGGAGGTCGAGTACTGTTGCTGAAGCTGCTGTGATTGGGATGAACTAGAGGCAGGGGTACTGGTGCTGTTCGGGTGCTGGCACTGTCGGATGGCAGTCAGGAGGGCATTAAGGAGAAGTGAAAATGACCTCTGATCATGCCTTTCTGCTAGGTGATGGGCGAGGTGCTTATGGACTGTGTATGTGAGGGCCTTGTGCAGAAAGAGGGAATGGATGTTTGAGTAGTTCGTGTTGATTTCATATGCATACACAAGTTTGGAGTAAAGGGACTTGGATTTTAGTATTTAGTTCCTTCCTTCCTGACCCAGACCACTGGGCAGGTTCACACCATCATGGTGGTGATGCCCACTGTGCTCATTGCTGTTCCTTTGGCTTCCCTGGCACAGGTCAGTGTGTCCTGGCAGGACATCGAGGATGCTGAAGAGGCTGCGGCCCATGCTCGGGTTGGGACGGACTCGGCCGAAGGACTGTTCAACATGGTCAGCATTTTTTTTTGGGGGGGGTCTGGTCTTGGGGCCTAAACTCTGGGACTGGACGCTGTCCCTCAGCTCTTCAGCTCAAGGCTAGCGCTCTACCACTTGAACCACAGCTCCACTTCCGGCTTTTTTCTTTTTGCTTATGTGGTGCTGAGGAATCGAACCCAGGGCCTCAGGCATGCAAGGCAAACGCTCTACCACTGAGCCACCTTCCCAGCCCATACATGGTCAGCATTTTTAACGGCCAGTGGCCTATCCTCCTTTCCAAAGAGTCAGAAGTATTCACTAAATCTGAGAGTGCTTTCTGACCTGAGGAGGTGGCTGGGTATCTTCCATGTTTACTAACCTTGCAACTATTTACTTCATTTTTTATTGAAACCTTGGGGGTTGAACCTGGGGCACGCTCTACCACTGAGCTTCCTATCCAGCTGTGGCATGCGTGCATGTGCGTGCATGTGTGTGTGTGTGTGTGTGTGTCTGTCTGTCTGTCTGTCTCCTGGGGCTTGAACTCTGGGCTGGGTGTTGTCTCTCAGCTCTTCAGCTCAAAGATAGCACTCTACCATTTTAGCCACAGCTCCACTTCTGGTTTTCTGGTGATTTATTGGAGATAAGAGTCTCCACGATTTTCCTGCCCAGTCTGGCTTTGAGATGTGATCTTCAGATCTCAGCCTCCTGAGTAGCTAGATTACAGGCATGAGCCACTGGTGCCTGGCTGCTTAAAAAACAAAACAAAACATTGTTAGTAAAGGTGATGTACAAAGGAGTTACAGTTCTTTCTAAAAGTCAGGTAAAGAGTACATTCACGGGCTAAGAATGTGGCTTAGTGGTAGAGTGCTTGCCTAGCATGTATGAAGCCCTGGGTTTGATTCCTCAGTACCACATACACAGAAAAAGCTGGAAGTGGCACTGTGGCTTCAAGTGGTAGAGTGCTAGCCTTGAGCAAAAGAAGCTCAGGGACAGTGCCCAGGCCCTGAGTTCAAGCCCCAGGACTGGCAAAAAACCAAAAAAGAGTACATTTGCTTTTGGAGAATGTCCCCTCTTCCTGTTTTCTCCCAGCCAGCTGTGGCTTTTAATTTGTGTTGATGGTACTGGGCTGTGAACTTTAGCCTGTGAGTTACTGGAAAAGTGCTCTACTTCTTGAGCCATACCTCCACTTGAGTGTTTTTGTTGGTTGGTTGGAGATAAAAGTCTTGGATTAGTCTGCTCAGGCTGGTTTCAAACTTGAGTTTCCAGATCTCCGCCTCCTGAGTAGCTAGGGTTATAAGAAGGAGCTCCTGGTGCCAGGTTCATCAGGCTTTGTATTGACAGCTTTTCCTCCTTCAAAGGATGAAGATGAAGAAACAGAGCATCAAGCAAAGGGTGACCCCGAGCTGCGAGTTCAGATGGCCCATCCTGTAGCTGAGCGCCTGGACATCCTGCTTGCTTTGCTTTTGTCCTACATCAAGGATGTCTGCTATGTGGATGGTAACCTATGACATTGCCACTCATCACTCTGGGTATTCCCCACGCATTCCTTCTGGCACAAATCTGAACTCTGAACCTGGAGAAAGCTTTAGAGAGGTCTGCTATCTGCCACGGTAACACAGATTCAGGCTCAGTTACATGGCGCTTCCAAGCCCTTGGTCTTTGCCTGTTGTGTTCAGAGCTAGTAGTGGTGCTTAGCAAGCTCTATGCAGAGCTGAAATTAGACTTGAATTGCTTGAGATGTTTAGACTGCTCTAGCCAGCACCAGTGTGTAGTGGTTACCTGGCTGAGTGAGTTAGAGTTAGAAGTTGAAGGCCTTGCAGCAGGTCAGAACTGTTCTGAGCAAATCTGCAGGTGAAGACTTGACATTTTCCTAAGATTTAAGGATGAACTTCATTTATATGAAACATAAATGAAAAAATACGTTTTTGAAGTGCTGGCAGTCAGACAAACCCCGGGCCCCCAGATGCCAGGGACCAATCCTAATGACTGAGTTCTAGCACTAGCCCCACGTACGTTTTCTATGAATTTGAGAGGTCTAGTGAAAATTAAGTAAATTTGTGAATATGTGCTTTTATTCTGCTGTACTGGGGATTGAGCCTAGGGTCTTGTGTGTGCTAGGCAGCATTCTACCTTGAGCTATGCCCTCAGCCCAATTAAAAACATATTTTATGCCATTCACTGTTTTAAAATTGTTTTTTTGGCCAGTGGATTTAACTGGTATTTTTTTCATTATTATAAATAACAGCATAACAAACCTCACACGTGTATCTTCAGTTATTTGCTTATGATAAATTCCTGGCAAGGGTTGTGCTCAAGTTATATATCTGACTCCACCTGTAATCTTAGCTAGTCAGGAGGCTGAGAACTAGAAGATCAAGGTTTGAAGCCAGCATTGGCAGAAAAGTCCTAGAGACTCCACCTCTAATCATCAAAACACTGTACTGGAGATGTGGCTCAAGTGGTTTCTTATTTTTTTATTTTTTTTTGGGTCCGGTCATGGGGCCTGAACTCTGGGCCTGGGCGCTGTCCCTCAGCTCTTCAGCTCAAGGCTAG